TGCTGTTTTCTTTTAATTTTTTTCACATTATGCGATTTTATTTCGCTCTGGTCGCTGTAGAGCAAGCACCTTACATAAATCAGGAGGAGACATTAGCGTCGTATTAGCGCCGCGCTGCAGAAACCGTATTAAATACTTGTACGAAAAGTAGAGGAAATATTTGGAATTCGCGAGAAAAACACGACGGTAAAAAGTTAAAGAATATGATACAAAGCCTTCGTTCATTGGTACATTCAAATTCTCAACTGGTTTAAGAAACATTGTGTAACAACATGAGGTGGAGAGGTAGAGAGAGGGAGCGAGAAGAAGAGAGAGGAAGACAGAGAGAGAGAGCAAGGGAAAATGAACTGTTCTCAAGTTCTCAAACAGGGAAATCAGCTTAATTTAGGAGAAATCATTTTCTAACACAATTTTTGTAAAAAAAAAAATAAGAGAGATTAGAGAGAGTAACATCTTTTACACCAAAGGGAGCCAACCTAATAATATAAAAGGTCCCAGTGAGTCTACACTAAAGGGAGTGGACCTGAGATCATAAACGGGCTCAGGATCACTGACGCCGTGGCGATGCTGTCTTAGAGGTATCACCAGAACTGATTCAAGTCAAAGCTGATTTTATTTAAGAGAAAAGTCCTTAACGTGCCACCAGAGAGCGCGGAGTAAGCAGGTAGTCAGAAGACAGTCATAAACTCGAGAAAATACTCTCCCCGGAATGTCGTACTAAATTCGCAACTTTGTAAATAAATTTCCAAGAAACCCCCGGTGAAAGAGCAGTATAGTGTTTCCTTCTTGTAAAAAACAATAACAGAGATATGCCTGGATTTCGGCAAAACAACTAAACTTATATAAGAGTCCTGGCGACGGGGCTGAAAAAAAGTTATGGAATTGAGCAAAACTATAACTTTTATAGTTTGATTGACGCACCATTTAACTTAATGTCTTCTTCGTCACGAATTAAGACATCAAAAGCCGGTAGGTCATTTATTGTACAACAACATTAACAATGTACGCACTTTTGACATCTAAGAAATTCATTTGTCTTCGCTTTGATTGTCGTCTAGTGCCCAAAATTCGTGCTGGTCGTGCTCGTCATAGGTCAAAGGTGGTCGTTACAACAAAAGTTATGCGAAATATGCAACCCTGTCAAAAAGTCAGCCTAAAAGTCGGAAGGTCGCAGCCTGGCATCATCAATCAATTGTGACAACAAAAAGCATGATTTTAATATACTTGTCAGCCAACGTTGCGATAACGGGGATTATGCGTAACATTTTAAGTGAAAAAGGCTGCAAAATAGAATTGTAAAAACAGCAACAACTAGCAGCCAATTAAATGTGAATGGAAAAAAATTTGCTTTCGCAATGTGATCAGTGTCAAAATGATAAAAAAATTCATAAATATAATGTTTTTAAATGTAATCTGTCTGTCTATATGATGTGTTGATATATTTATACCCTGAACGGGGTATATTAAGTTTGCCATGAAGTTTAGACTTCGACTAGAAGGAAACGTCAGAGATATAAAGTGTACATAACGCGCTCTTCAATAGGGACGCAACAAACGTATACCGACAGGCACATCAAATGACGTTATATTTTTTCCCGCTCTTTTGACATTTCTCTTCAGTCAGGTTTGTTATTTCATCAGCAGCAGTAATCCGTAGTCAATGGCCTCAAGTTTAAGTGCGCTACGTCCAATTTATGGTCGTCATAATCGTCTTGTCAGATCACCAATTGAGTGTCTAGTGAAAAAATCTGAATGAACAAACACAGTTCCCATACCAGTAGTGTCGAAAATATTGCGACAGCTAGCGCATCAATTGAGGAAGACCCCTCGGTCATGCGATTTGATGACGTTAGACTATGGTCTAGCCAACAAGCGAGCGACAATTGACGAACTTAGTTTGAATACCCGTAGAAAATCAGGTTCAGTGTCTGGACTTCGTGTTCGAGTTCTATACATAATGGCATCGAATGCACTTTCACAGGAATACAAAATTTCATTGATATCCCAAACAGTTTTTGTTTTATTTAAAAAAAATTTTGTAGCGCTCTTATTAAAATCCCCTTATAAATCATCAGCATGACGAGCCGAGTCGTGTAAGCCATATCCGTTTGTGCAAAGAAGTTCCTCAGTTTCTGAGATATCCATCTGAAATTTCGGACGCGTTCTTTTCCCACTAAGGATCTACTTATTTGTTGAAACGGCTGACATCGGATCACTATAGCATATAGCTACCGTGCAAACTGAACGATCGGAACCAAGCACTTGAGTGGAACATTTTTTCATTTGGCGAGATGTCTTCACGAAATTCGGAATAGGTTATTATCGAAAGCAGTGAAGTAACTTACGAGATTACTCTGATCGCGTCGCTTTAGCATAAATCTGCCATATAAGACTTCAGAGTTATTAGAAGCAAGCTGCATTTGTTAAGGGTATTATAGCTTCGGTGCAACCAAAGTTACCTTTCATTTTTTCTTGTTTACATAATTTTTTATTGCTCTTTTTTGCACTCGGCTGGCGAGCATTATCTGATATGCCATATAAATGTATATGCACAGAAAGTGCTAGAAAATTAAAAAAAAAGTTAATTAAAGCCGTTTGTTAATTTTTCCGCGCGGTTGCATAATTGGAAATGCGTGTTTATCTGCTTACAAGTGTAGAATAAATTAAACATATATTGATGGATTTGTAGCAATCAATTTGAATAATGCTGTGGCTGGCCATGAGGGTTTTCAGATTTTTTTCAGATTAATGTTTTTGTTTTTTCTTTGATATCTAAGTTTTAAAAAGGTACGCAAAGAGATAAAATCAAGTATTCATACGCGTCCATAAAGCTGCGAAAAAATACAAAAATTTGCGCAAATTCGTGCCAATCTTCTGCAGCTGAACAAACGCAAGGCTCAACACTAACAAATGCACATGTGAGCATGCCACCAGGCCACACCCACGAAAGCATAAACATATCACTGCTGCGAACTGGCGATATAAGTTTCAGAATAAACACCGCTAAGCCAAATACAGCAGAAAAAATAAATATGCTGACACTTAATTATGTAAATTTAATTTGTTTGCCTTCATTTCTAACGCCAGCCCAAAACACACACACAGACACACACATGGAAAGAGCAAGTTTACAAAGTTACACTTTAGTGTGTGTGAGTGTGTGCTTGTCAAAGCACTTTGATGTCATCTTTTTAAGTGTTTGCCTTTGTAATTTAGTTGTGTACGCGAACGCCTAAAAGCACGCAGCAAAAAAATTGATAAAAACATTGAATGCCCTGCGAGAAAAATGAGAACTCGAAAAAAAAAATTGTTTTCTTACTAGAAATAACTAGAACAGTTGCAGACTAGCTAAAAACTAGTTCCACACAAGAATTGAAACTGCTGAGTAAGAAATTAATTCTGCTAGAATCTTCAAACTTAAGTTACTGCTTTACAACAGTCTTGCGTGTGCAAAAGTACAGACAGACGAACGGATCGACGGACGAATAGACAGACATGGCTACAGCGACTCAGCTCGTCACACTGATCACACAGGACTGATTTTCTTCCGCCGCGAATGTACTTCAAAGCGTGTGCGCACCGACTGGATTCGGTAACATTTTCGCGCGACTGGTTTCTGTGAGTGGTGCAAGCCGAAAAGGCAGCGTTCGTTCAAATCAGCACCTCGGCTCTCAAGGCAAATCCGGAGAATGCCTTCCGTGACGCCTTCTATGTTTGGGACATGGCAAATCTGTAAATTTAAAGAGCGACTTCAAAAATATTTTCAGTTTTTTCACCAAAAAATGTGTAAAGGCAGACCCGAAAATACGTTCCCTTCTTTCACTTTCTTTGACTTTTATTGCAGCGTTACCAACAAGAGAGGGCGTGTGTGCCTACTGTGGAGCAAAGGCCATTATATCTACCGTCCTTTCTGCTAACTATCCTCAATTTTCACTTTCGTTTCGTTAGAAATGCTCCGAAACGCAGCAGCAATTTGATACTCAATAACAGCATAGGAAAGCGCCGTTCTATCTTATCCAGCGTGTCTGCTCAACTAAATTTGCTACCAACAATGTTGGTATGAAAGCTGAGCTGCAGCTGGCGAAGACAATAACCAGCCTTGTGCGGTAGTAAGGGATCTGACGGTTTCAAGGTCGCAGCTTCGCGCATAAAATGAAGTTGGCGTTATAAAAAGTAATGTGATAAAAGTGCTTACAAACACATATCCACCCCAGCGTACATGTGTGGCATATAAGCTGTTGGTTGTTGCAAATACGAAGAAAAGGTGAAAGCAAAAAGTGGTGGTGCAAGCACTTAAATCCGCCCTACTGAGCTGATAGTGTCTACACGCAGACAACATTATTGCTGCGTTTTTAGTAAAATCCCCACTATTCGCTAAATTATTTACTTATTATTGTTGCTTTATTGCATAATGCGAATAAATCATGGTTTATCGTCTCTCCACAAGCGAACACATTCAAATAAATCGACAGTTGAAACGATTCCTCTTGCCGTTAATCAACCACCGCGATACCCGCACAGATATCGATAAGACTCCCACTATTTATGGCTTGCAAATAAGAGCCGACACTTTGCTTAAACGAAAATGTTGAAAATCGCGTTTTGTTGTGGCAACAAGGCGGCTGCGTTCGTATATATCTCCATTGATGTATATGTGTGGCGAAAGGATAATACATTCGCTGTGGATAGTGTAATTCGCAGCCTAACCGTAAATGCGAGAGAGTGGCGGATTAAGCGCGCTGAAAGGTAATTAAGCGGCTTCTCGGGGTTAGACTGAAGACAGAGATTAGAAAGTTGATCAATGCGGCGTTGCTTAGATCGTGATATAGCGAAAGCCATGACTTAGGCGTGAGTGGTTTTTGCTTAGTTGCTTCCAATATTAGTCAACGTCCCAGAAATCTGAGATTCAGCAGGTTGAACGTACTTTTTTTTTATATTCCATGCCTGTCTTTAGTTCTGGGTTTTATAGCGCTAATACTCTATTCTTTTCTCATCTCCAGCGGACAGTTCGTTTCTATTGGCCAACGCACAGATTGTGGATTTTCCGATTGTGTATTGCAATGAGTCCTTTTGCAAGATTAGCGGCTATAATCGTGCTGAAGTCATGCAGAAGTCGTGCAGGTGAGTTTTGTAGAAATTAAATGGTTCTTCGAGAGAATCAACAGCTTTTATCATATTACAACATTTAACGTATAAATGAAGATAGGAAAAAAGTTTAAGATCTTGTAACATAATTTTTCAAAAATTTAGTATTTAAAATATTTGCTCTATATAATAACAATAAAGGTACTGAAATTAAGTGGACGGATTGCATGATCTACTGCGAGACCTGCCCAACAGCGGTCGGCTTCGTATTCCATCAAAGAATGCCGATTTTCCTAGCATCAGCCATGAATATCAGCAAGAACAGATCTGTTTCGACTTTGCGAGTAAACCCTCTACTCAACGCAACTGAATTTAACTCAACTCAACCCAACTCAGCACAACTCAACTCATCCTAATATAAACAAAGGCCAAAGTAACAGTTCTCTATCTTAGAATAAGTCTATTGGGACAATGCTCTGAAGAATTGAAGCTCGAATCAGTCTAGACTTATCTCAAAGTTTACTAATGGTTAAGTTATAGCAAATAAAGCAAACAGCTTACACCGCAAACTCTAACTAACAAATTGCGCAATTTATTTAGCACGCTTTAAAATATGAGCCCAACGACCTCCTTCCTTACCCTAGTGAGTGTTGCCTGCTCACTTGTATCAGCCTGCAAAACAAATTCCTTTCATTAGCCATGACAGCTGAGTTGAAAACTTTCTCCCCCAAGCGTGACTGTGCACCACCCTCGGGAGCACATAGAAATACAGTGGAATTTATGCAAAGTATTTTGCCAGAGCAAATGAGAGCGGGTGAGGGCAGCGCGGCAGAAAAGGAAGCAATGTGGGAACCAAGGTGTACACGGACGCTGGAGTCAAGAGCAAAAACAAATTGGAAAGCTGTGTAACATAAAGTGGGCGCGTGTTGATGGAGTTGCATGCGCTTTTTATAGACCCCATTACGGCAAAGAAGTAGAAATTAAATTTGAAATCGAAAACTAAGCATATAAACTGGCGCCGCTTTAAGCCACGGCACAACGATAATATTTTGCATGTGCCTTTGCGCACGCATACACATCACAGTGGTCCCGACCTACATCCACACTTATAAAGTTATTCACTGGTTTACCGACTTCTGCTTTACCGCTACCTCAAGCCGTCTGACGGCCCATCTTGCTTTTCCCATTGGCCTCAAAACTTTATTTTTGTTGTTTGCGGCTGTGTGACATATTTCCAGAGGCACCGTTTTGCTTAGCTGTGCTAAATAAACACAGACACTTCGGCTGAACAGCCGACTCTCCGGCGGCCTGTGTGGAGGCGCATAACTGTATATACTATATTTTGCCTTTTTAGGTTAGGTGCTTTGCGACTTTGCTAGCCAAGTAGAAAGAGTTCTTTAAAATATACGCTACAGCAGATGAAAGTGGCACCGGTTATGTGCTTTTTTTATATTTTTGGAGATTTATTGCAAAAATCTTTGCTCGGGCTAAAGCAGTCCAGTTGAAAGTCGTACGCTGGCGACAAGTACCATGAACCTGCGATTGCTAAACCTTTATTCCTATGTGAAGAACGCTTTAACTGCGAAGGTGCAATGAAAAACCTCACCCACAATATTTCTTATTCACTGTGTAAAATTATGTGGTACAAGGTCTAAATACACACTGAAAGTCGTAACTCATATGGAACGCTCCATATTTGCCGAACCACCGCGGGTTGTCCGAGGCAGCACATCGGCAATGCACTTTGACTCAGTTGCCACATACTGCTGCATTCTTCAACGGGCAAAGGTTGTCTGGCTGACGAATGTGCTGACCCACAGCTGCTTAGTTAACCCATCAGCGCTGCCGTGGAACTCGGCAACTCCAGGGCGCAATTAGCGCTGTGACAGCGCTTGATTTACCGTCTACGTGACACAAATGTTTGCTGTAGCCGCAAGCAGTTCATTTCTGAAAATAGTCAACAGGCATTCGGACCTCTTAACGCATTGCTAGAGAAAAGTGAGTACCCAACACACACCTTAGTATACCTTCTGTGAACTGTTCATTCCACCTCCTGGGCCTCTGAAGCTCATTTGCCTGCTTCGCGCACTTTCTCCCGTTTTGGCGCTGATTTTCAGGCTGTAAATTTCCACCCTTCTACCCACTCACTTAGCATACGCTTACGTGCCGCTTTGCGGCTTAGTCCATAAATTGGCTCTTAGAGGCCGACAGCTGCTGCTCACTGCAATGATTTGCGTATTTTTTCACTTCTTTCCGCTTTCGCTGCGGCCCGTTTCATTAGTTAAGCGCTTTCAGCTTTTCGCTGGCCACATCCGCTGGCGTACTGAACTTTGCTTGCCTTGCCTTAATGTTGTCTGTTTGCATTGCGGCGCGCTTAAGCTATTTTTAGATGTCCTTGTGTTCATTACTTCCCCCATTTCTTCGGTATGACTTGGTAATTTGCACTAAAACGCGTCTTTTACCGTTATTTCTGATGATTTTGTATTTTTCCAAACGCGGTCGTGACCTTATAAATCTAACGTAGCTTTACTAAAAAATCTTATTGAAGTATGGAAGTTAGGAAGGCGTCGGGAGTCTTGCTGTAGGCGTGGACACCCATCGCGGGTGGTGTTTTGGCGCTACGAAAGCGTAGTCAAGACAATAATATTCTACGGTGTATTTGCCTGGTGGAGGGTGCTCGGAGAGGCTTCGACTCTCTAAAAAGCCTTAACGTGGCCAAAGAGTAGTTCTCATTCTTATCTCCGATGCCGACAGGTGAATATCTGGGAAGTATGCTCTGAAGCTCGAGGAAGCTGTGTAGATGAAGGGTCCGAACCAGAACACGCCGGCTTTCTTTCCTCCTTCAACTGCATTTCTACCCCTCGTGTCAACTTGCAAAGAAGAAGAAGAAAGCAGGGTTTTATGAAAGTATGAGCAAGAAAGTATGAATGTTGTAAGTCTCTGGTTTGAGTACCTTTGCCCTCTGCCTACAAATTGTTATCATTTGTAAGCGCCGGCCGTTCAAATAGACTTCGTCGAAACTACTTATATGGGGGAAAATGACAATTAACCCAATTTAAGCTACTTTCGCTGTTGGATTGCGAAAGCACCGAGTCACGCTTTGTTGCCCCACAACGACAAAAACACCAACAAAATCAAGTAATATTTGATTGCTAACGCCTAAAACACACAGCAGCACATGCATAAGTCAACGCCTGTGAGTGTGTGTTTGCTTGCATGCAACATATCGCCAGTCACAAGTCAAGAGCTTTGCTTTTGTTTTTGTTTTGGCTATGTAAGCGGCTTAGTGGCTGCGCTTGTTGTTGTTATTCTTATTTGTTTCTATTGCATTTGTTATTGCCGCTGAGCGTGTTCGGCATTGTCACCCGCACTCACACTGCGGTTGCGGCTGCGTTCTGTGGTTGCAAACAGTGTTTTGCTGTTGTTGTGTTTGTTGTCTTTCCTAAATTTTGTTTGCTTACTTTGCCGCTGTTGCGAACACATTGGTTTTATCCACACATTTGTGCTTCGCTTTAATTTTTTTTTTTTTTGCTTTTTGTGTCCTTTTTCACACATTTCGCCGCAAGGTTGTGTGTGGCGGCGCAGCAACAAAAAGATTTGCGACCAATATTTGTGTTGCAGCCAAAAAAGCAGTGAAGAATAACAATATTTTCAATATTCAACTGATTGTTGTTTTTGTAGCAAATTTCATGCCACAGCAACTAAAAATATCAATCATTTGCGTGTCGAACTCGCATGCCTCACACACACAACAGCAAAGCAAAACCTCATGCGAACTTTTATCTTCGCTTTACACTCCCGACTGCCGCGTTGCTCTACCATTTATGTGGCACAATGCACAATGTGCCACTGCCCTAGTAATGACACCCTGCGCCGTCGCCACCTCCTTTTCTACCTTCGTGCTCGCTCGACAACCCGCATTCGCCAAAGGATTTGTGTCAAATTTTGCCTTTCTCTGTTTATTTTATTGGCTTTTGTGTTTGATTTTCAGCAATTTCCGCAGGGCCTCCCAGCCGCTTCGTTCACATCCTTGGGCTGCCTGTGCAAACTTTAACTTTTGTTTATCGAAATTATTTATTTGGTGTGTGCCGATTTCACACTCTTCACTCGATGTTTTCAATTGGTTTGGTGACTGTCATAAATACAATCATAAAATCAAATATTCAAGAGCTTGAGAGAGTATATATTTGTGTAGGGTATATATTAAATTAGTTTAAAGAAAAACGCATGTTTGTGGAGTCGGACGCTAGTGTTGAAGTTGTATGGACATTGAGCTAATTAGAAGCTTGAAAAGTTCTCCTCCATTTTCCAGCCTCTGCTTGGCTTGTGCTCGGCGAACCGAAACTGGCATTTGCCTAGTCTCTACAAACTTTTGATAGGTTCAAAACGCTTTGTTGATCTGTAAGGGTCTTATGATCGAGTATATAGATAAAAGTAGGACCACAATGGACCGACGTTCTAATTTGCATAACTGAGCTCCCACTTAGAATCGACCTCTTAGCCTAACGTAACCATACACAGGGTTTGTCGGGAAAATAATAGGACTCAGTCGATTAAAAAAATGTAATTAATTCTTTAAAAACTTTCACAATAGGCTCCTTCTGCGTCGATACAGCGCTGCCGGCGCGATTTCCGAACATTGAAGGTCACAAAAGGCAGCCTCCGGAATCGCCTTGAGCGCCGAGATGCATGCTGCTTGGATCACCTCCGTCGTCTCAAAATGCTTGCCTTTCGTCGACCTTTTCAGACAAGGAAACAAAAAAGTCCAGGGCCTAATTGACCCTACCTTTGAGCCTTTTGAGGACTTCCATGTAAAACGTGGCGTTGACGGTTTGTCCAGGAGGAACAAATTCTTGGACATTTCCCAACTTTTCCGCCTTCTCGTTGTCGAAAATGCAAAAAAGCAGTTGTTGACTACATTGGAATTTTGACAGTTTTTGGATTTCATATGACGTAACTTACAAGTCAGAACGCTTTATTCGGATATCTCCGTAGATATTCGATTTACCTGTTGTAAATTTATATAACACGGTGTCGTATGGAAGGTCGACGTGGTAATAGTCCGTTTTCTTTCACTGATGTACAGTTTCGAAATTTCATACCGATTTTCGTTTTTACAAAACGTTCAATAAATAATCTCTCATTTCAGATGCGGCTTCATGTATGGCGAGCTGACAGACAAGGAAACGGTGGCGCGGCTGGAGTTCACATTGGAGAATCAGCAGCAAGATCAGTTCGAAATTTTACTCTACAAAAAGAACAGTGAGTACAAGAACCAAAAGCTTGCGGTTTGTGTCCAAACTAAGGGTTTCAAAGGAAGTTGAAAAATATCTAATGATAAGGAGTAATGCGTTTGAAGTAGAGCAAAAACAACTTAATTTTAAAACTAAATATCTAACTAGCCGTAGACTGACTACTTCGAAATAAGCTGCACCCCTGACATGAAATATATTTAACTGCTGGCATTTTAAATACGGAAACAACCAAAATTGTAGTTTGGCTTGACTCGCTTTGTTGATTTTGGAATGCTAACATATTTACTTGTATAACGGTATATATAAATATCCGGAAAATAAAAGAAGTGTGTTAAGTGAACATATTTATTAACACACCGAAAGGCAGCTGTGTCATTAGGAAACTTGAAGCGCGCTTTAAAATAATTCGATGTATTATTCATGGCGCTTCGGATGCTTGAAATTCACACTTGTCTTCATTCATTCTGTATGCTAACTCACTTTTTGATAATTTTAAGCAAAAAGTGCCTGAGAGCGCATTCACCGAGACGCCGCAGTGCGAACTGTCACACAATGTAGTTGGACAAGTACACTTACATACAGACATACCCTTACAGAAGCTAAAGGACACATAACACACCGCGTGTATTTGTGATGAAGTGCATGTTCCACCAGCAACAATTGCCGCGAACGCATACACAAACACGCTTAGCGTTGTATAAATGTGTATGAATAACATTCCGCCTGGCTGGCCGCCTGTGTGCACATTGAAGCCTGGTATCTGCCCCACAATCTGCAATATTATATTCATTACCCCTGTTATGTGCTCTCACATATGCGAATGAGCTGTGCGGGTGGGTGTGTATGTGTGGTGTATGATTATATGAATTTGTATGATTTAATGTGTGCTTGTAGTGGCGCTTTTGCGGCTAACTCGCTGGAAATGTGTCCGCTTTGCATTTTAGTGCCTTTACCAGGCCGCAGAGGCCATTAAGTGGGTTAAAGTGGCCATTAGGCGGGAGGCGTCTCCCGTGTGAATGAGGTCAATTTGTTGTACGGCCGTGTATGTGTATCTGTGAGAAGTCGTTGTATGATTACAAAATGTGATAAGCGCATGTAGCGGCGTATTAACAGCCTGTAAGTAGTGAACATTGGTATACATACTTATATGAGCTGTTGTTGTGCTAGAAATTTAAATAAACTGACAGCATTAAAATCATAATTTTAAACTAATGTATTAGTATAGCATATTCAAAACATTTTGCAGCAAAAGCAGCATTTCGCAAAACTTTTGTAATGTGCGCCTAAGGATATGCTTTATTTTCTGATATAAGCAGTTTACATGTGCCAAAATGTATGCCTCATTTTCTGAGCTCTGCAATTTACTGCTGAATTTTGAGTGCAATGATATGAGGGCGCATTTGGAATGAGAAAATGCTTAAAGCCATAAATTTCATATCCCTTACCCCGCACTTAAATTCATAATTACACTCAAAGCATACTTCTTTATCCTTATATATACAACTTCTAAGGTAATTGCATAGCTCGCAAAGCAATATTTTTGACGAAAAGCCTCTCACTATATGTTTCTATATTAGCGCTAAATTGCAATGAAAATGTGTGGCATTCAAGCGACACTTGAAATCACTCCTTATCACTACTCATTCATCTACACCGCCTCGTCCCTGCGCCCGCGTCCATGACATACAGCTAGAGACACCTCAGTGCGCTTCCTGTATTCATTGCAATTGGATGTGATTTAGTCATTTCCGCTCGTTGATAAGCGATGAGCGACAAGCTATAAGCGCTAGGAAATGCATTTTACTGCCATTTCCGCTTTAACTGCGACTCTCGCACTGTGAGTGGAAGTGAGAGAGTGAATGTAATTTTTGAAAACACTTTAATTCGCTTCATTTGACAACATTGGATCACCGTTTTGTAGACATTTTAGATATATGCTAATCAAATTTAGCACGCGGAATTGTCCTAAATGTACATTTAAAATAAAGCAATTGACACATTTCATTGAACATTGCAAAAAACGTTTGAACATAAAATAATAATTGCCACAGGCAGCGGATTATGGTTGTGGCTGCTCTAATTAACGGTGGTTTTTGTGTAAACAATGCTTGCATATTTTACAAGTATATATATTTAGGCTATAGAGTACTGCAATCGCACACCATGCTAGAGCCCTTAAATATATGCTAGGAACATGCTATGTAACTGTATTGCATTTGCTTTTTGCTAATCGTAGAGCTAAAAACTGTATAACAGCCTTTCAATGCAACAATATTTGCCGGAGCTATTCAAATATTTATGTGCATACTTTTAGGCGTATAATAATAAAATAATATGCAATGAAGCATAAAGTAAATAGCTGCATATTGTAATAGCATTGCTTTCAAGCGAACCAGTGAACTGTGCGAAAAATTTAATGCAACAATAAATTATTAACAAACAGTGAATAAAAGATTTTTTTTATTGGCGAGTATAGCGCCATCTGGCGAACGAAAATTTGTTCGAGGTAAAATAAAAGTAAAATAATGGAGCTCACAAAGCGCTGAGCAAAAGTCCAGTCGACTAAGAAACCTGCTTGCAGGTATTAACAAGAAATTCCATATGCACACAAATCTCCTTTGCTACCTAGCTTAGTTTTAGGTAGTTCTAGATAAAGTAATTGCTATGTAGATTATGGATTATTGCCTAACCTGGACACTTTGAGTCCGACGTCTCTTTCTACTAATCCCATTTCATTTAGACGAGATTTAAAGACCATTACACAGTCTCTTTCTTATAATGAACGCAGTGAGTTTTCGAGCATATTTTTGGAATTCGCGGTAAACTTAATCTCATGCAAGACACTCAGAATGCTGGCAGCATTGGCTGACTCCCATAAATTGACAAAATGAGCGGCTAAGCGGTATTCGCAATAACAGCACAGATAAAGGCGCACCGCAAACAGGCAACGCCACGGATGTTTAAGAGTTAATTAAACTATGAGCTGTGTTGAAGCTATAGTGACTGCAGTTGACGCGAGTGTTGCCTCAAAGCTGCAACATTTAAAAAACTGTCAACTTCCAGTGCTTTGACTGGTCGCAGCCAACAAAGTGTTTAATTACCAAATACTTGCATTTCAACTTGCGAACTAATCTAGTAGAAGTTATGCACAACTTTGCTGTACTTGTCATACGCCATGCGCCCGTGTGTGCGCGCCTTTAAGTAGGCAACTCGTTGAACTTTCGGGCTTGTTGACACAGGTACACTTGCACAACTGTTGCTGTGGTTGTGCCGTAAGCAAGCAGTGTAGCATATGACTACATCAAATGAACCCGATAAGTTCTTGTTGCACATGTAGTAAGCTGTTATTTGTATACACGCAAACACCTATAAACTACATATGTCGCGCAGCGGCAAGCCTGGGCGCTCATGAATATGCAACGGGCGTGCTTGTGGCAGCCACACATGCAGGCAACTGAGGCACACAGACGCAGGGTCTTCACACACACACACACACTCTCACTGTGCGGTAGTTTGTGCATTTACATGCGAGTATTATTAGGTTTTTAACACATGTTGTCATGCTGCCACACAGCGCTGCCGACTTCTTCGGTAGTTGATTTTATTTTTAGCCTACATCGCATTTAAATATGCAACAGCATAAATTGTGCAGCTCAACTTGTTAGCTTGTTCCGTTAGTACTGTGTAAAAATAGACGCTTACAGTCGTGTGCATATTTTTACCAACGAATGTGGCAATTGTTGGTAGCTGGCAGCACTCACAGCTTAACTATGCATTTGGCACAAATGGGTGGTCGTCGATGCTGTAGTTGGTGCAACGGCACATCACTGGATGGTTTTAAACGTGAGAGGGAGTGTCGCTTTCCCAACATTTTGCTGTTTCCGTCGAAACTTTCATATTTCACGTTAAGAGTAAAGAAGTATAAAAATATTTTTATCTTGATTTTAATGGGTCAGTTTATATGGGAGCTATATTATACAGTTACTCGATCTGTACAATCTTTTGGGGATTCCACAATTATTTCTGGCAATAACCTATGCCTAATTTCTTCGGAAACGGCAACACTGCCTTAGACAATAAGTCCCGTATCCACATAATTTACGTAGTTCCCAATGGCCGCCAAAGACGAAAATTCTAATACAAAATGTTCAAATTTGGACGTAGTCCGATAATTTCTGATTTTCGTTGTTTTTTGCGCACTCTGGAAGTTCCAAAACGACTCATCGACTTATCAAGTCACACTCATAGCTTATGTATACTTATATATCGACTTATTCAGCTCATACCTAGAGTGTATGTGTGTAGATGAAGGAACTGCTAATAAAGGATAGTGTAAAGCAGATAAAAAGTGTATCATAACAGCAATTAAGCTAAGTGCCATTAGTAAAAGGTTAATTGCCTTTCAGATCTCAGGCAATGCACCCCAGCTAGTCGCTTATGAATTATTTTTTATATTTTTTTTTATTTTTTGTTGCAAGTAATCAGCATTAATGCAGGCGGCAGGCATAAACAGCGACATCTACAAGTACTCGTTTGACGTCATCAATGACTAGGCTTTGAGCGCATAATAATATTTCTGGTACTTGCAACAAAAACGTAACCATATTTTGCTTTATTCTCTTTGTTAACTGTGTTTTATATCTGAATGGTTCAGCACATTGTATAAATTTTTAAGTAATGAGTTTTTACATTTATTACTTGACCTATGCATACTCAATTATCGCTTGCTTTCAATTAAATATTGAACTAAAAACAGTATTTTAATTTCAGATATTTTCCAACACTTATTTGCTCTTTAATGGCACATTTGGTTTGAATTATTATTTCAGATGCTCAATGCGGCTGCACGATGTCGAAGTATGGAAAGTCGCAACCAGGTACAAAACGCCCGGTTGACTCAAAGCTGCAGCAGCTAATAAAAAATGGCAAATTAGGCAAATACAATGGATTTTGTATTTATCAAAACAGAAACAAGCACATACACATGCGTAGAAAGCGTAGAAATGTAGTCAGCTAACCGAAATGTCAGATATTATATAGACGTTGCTAGTTAGTCCTTTTTAATGCCTCAAAAGCATGATAACCCACCATAATTATAGAAACGTCTGGGAAAGATAACTGACTGTTAGTGAGATAAGTGAATTTTCGGTGCTCTCACTAGACCAACGTAAAAGGTTTGTCTTTACCATATTTGCATCTTGAACAAGCGCTCGAAATCATATGATCTATATATAGGTATGAGAATTAAAAAGCAGTTCTCCGAGTTGCCTCAGAATGTCAAGAAAAAATAAAAGTTGGTAGTGGATCGAAAGGTGTGGAATAAGTAGAATCCTAACTGATTTTATGGTTGACTATGCATTATTTCACAAATTGTGATTTTATGTAGAGCTGAGCATAAAAGAGTGCACTGCATCAATCACAAAGCTCAATAAATGTACTTACTTTAGGATTTATCATTCGTCATAACGAGTATTTGCTGAAATTGCTAAATTGAAATGAAATGAAAGCTATTGTTAAATATTCTTAAGTTAAAATGGTGGTAAAAATTGGCAACACTGCATTATTTATAAAGCTCAGCTCATCATTGGCGTATATAGTTTTACTATAAACACTTCCTCAACATACTATTGATGAATACTCTGAACTGACATATCTAAAATAAACTAGTTTTATTCCTAATATTTCAAAAAACTATTTTTTTTTTAAATATTAATATTTTTAATATATTTTTTAAAAATATATTATATTTTGAATATAAGTAGGTGAGATGGATAAACTGAAGTATGTATCAAGCAGTTCCGAGTACAGCGAGAACATTTGTAGCTCCTCCTATTTGTCAATCGCTAATTTATGTCGTCATTTTCGCCTTTTCTATTGCATGTTTGACTTCTAAATACACGACGAAAGTTCGCGTAAATCTTTTTACTGTTATATCGTTTTTCTACAGCTGTTTTGTTAAAGTTCTCTTTTATTGCTGTTCGGTTTTATTGACTTAATTGCTTCTATTTATTATATTGTCGTGAGTTTTGAGAAGAAACTGCAAGAAGATGTTTTAATACATCTGGTGGGTATATGAAAAGGTATGGAGAAAAATTGAAAATTATTGGTGGAAATTCATGGAAGATAGTAAAGAACAGAAAGCAATAAAAAATAAGAGAGCAATAAAGTTTATTTTCCAACTAAGCGAGTGTTCAAAGGTATAAAGAAATGCTTCGAAGCTGCTATATTATTACTTTATATATGAAACAATAGAATTCCAAAGACCTGACAACAGTTTTATTAATTTTGTGTAGCTCTTTATGTTTCCTAAATTCATTTACTTTGAGCTGGAAACAAAATTCCAACAACTACACTAAAATTGCCACATTGTTGCTTTGTTGTTTCAGCTGACTGAATAGTATAAGCAGCTGTTGCTTTTGCTTTATCGCCAGTATACAGCTTTGAACTGCATATTAATTGCCAAGAGGAATCCTCAAATCGAAAAATTTTGTTATTGTCAATTTTTTTGGGCCACAGGCTCTTTCAAAGTACTGCTTTTGCATGTATTATGCACATTATTGCTAAACTATATATTTATGCGCGAGGAGAAAATGCTTGCGAGTTTCCCATTTACGAACACCAAAAGCCTACAGCCTCTTTTCCAGCAGCCTGTGGCTATTCGAGCGCCACTAATTGCAGTGGCTGTACGATTTGCCAATTCCCAACAGTTCGCCATGCTCAGTTGAAATTGTAGTGCAAAGTTTATATAGCAAAAAGCATATACACAGGCGCTTTGCGGCTTTGCACCCACACATATGCCAAATTTGATCATACGCACCTGCGTTCGTTATGAGGTTAATTAGAGCAGAGAGCAGACAACGCTACGCCTGTTTGGTAATATATGAGCGTGTGTGGAGTGGCAAGCCTGTAAGTGTTATAATGGATTGATTAAACAATGTTTGGAAATTGAATTTTCATTGAAATGTATTTAAATTGCTTTTGTGGAAAATTGGAACTATTAGAAATAAACTAAGAGACCAGTCTAACAGCAATCAATTTGAGTTACCAGAAGAGAAAATAATCATAATTCAAATCGTAGGGGAGATAATTTTAGCAGATTAACTTTTAGTTGGTGGCTGTCTTCGCTAAAGTAATGGGTATAAAACTTTGTAGGTTTAGGCGCTGAATACATGGAAATCTCTTTAACTGCTATCACTCAATAGGCAGACCTACATAAGTGAAGCAGTTAGCAAACTGTTACGAGCACAACTACAATAACACCAAAGACCAGGTTTAACCTGAATAAGCTTTCGTCATACTACATTAAGTCCTCTCGTTAGGTTTTGGAGTTCAGAGAGTTTAGGAAAGTAAATTATGTTTATCGCTACTAATATCATTTGGTTTGACGACCAAAAACACTATCGATTTCTATTTTTATAAGCCCGCAGATATCACATTTGTTTCTTTTACTGCTATTAATAGCGCAAAAGGTCGAACTATGGAGCTTCACCTCAAAGTTTCCTTTCTCATTAGGCTTAAAGATATATGTACAAATGAGTGGCAATGCTGCATCATTGATATCTCTATGCGGACAGACATGCGGTAGCCAATTTAACTAAAACAACGTGGTCGCTGTCAAAGAATAGCGAAAGTAAACGAAAACACCTACAGGTAGTCGGCTGAAGGCAAGTCACATGAGGCGCAAGGAACAGCACTTTGGACGTACGCCAATGTCAGGGCGAAAACATGACAAGCGAAATGTAAACGTATAAAAAAGGAGGAAAGAAAGCGAAAATACAAAAACGACAATTTATTAAACGGCAGCTGAAAGCTTTTACAGCAGTTTGACATGCCATCAGAGCAAAGAGCGCCAGCGACAATAAGACAGTGGGGTACAAATCGAAAACCATTGACGCTAATGCCCGCGGAAAGTTTTGTTGATTAGAAAAATTTACATGTCGCATTGGCCGCCACATGCATACCCGTTCTGCCACGCTTTAGAGGAAGCCTTCGAGGAAATTTATTAATTTTTCCATTTGACATTGCTGATGCCGCTCGTTCCCCCTTTCTGCATAACCAGCTTACTACGTTACACTTTACGTTGTTGTTACGCTCACCTCAAAAAGCCACAATTGATTTGTGTCAACGAATCATAAAATTGAAGGCTATGTTATTGTTTGTATGCGGAAATTGCAGCGTTGCGCTTCCATAAGCTGCGACCTTAAGAAAAAATTGCAAAAACACAGCAACATTCGATGAAAGTTAGAGGTTGGCCTTAGTAAAACACGCTGAACTGGGTTGAGCCGCAATCGGCAAGAATATGTTGGTGTAAATAAAATATTCACTGCAACAGAAGAAAAATGAAATAATATAATATCAAAGGTTGGCAAATATGGCATTGCCATTAACTAACAGCTTGTGACGACAACCTCAGAAGCCTTGGTAGGCTTTTAGGCGTTTTGCCATCATGCAAGATGCTGTCGCCTACACGAATAGCAAAAGCTGCGTCGCGAAATTTTCCGCTGCTCAGCAGAAGAAGCATGAGTTGAGCAAAGTACGCGGGAGTGAAGGTTAAGGCTAAGCACTAACCTATAAAAGCGGGCTGACCACTTGGTCTAAAGCGTTACAAAGAAATGATGACTCACAACACGCACTTGTTGCAATTTACTAAGGCAGCAGGATACTTTAGAGCGCCACACTTTGGTAACAAGTATCAGGAGAAAGTAGCCTACGCTCGAGCTTCCTGTCAATCACGTTTAGAAAACTAAAATATTTCGCAGATCATTCCCAAAGCTTTTTCCCACTTTCTTACAAGTTTAAACATTTTCTAATAATTTCCTGCATTTTTCCTGTGTTTCATGTACAGAAACTCCGCTATGGCTGCTGTTACAGGTTGCGCCCATACGCAACGAAAGGGATTTGGTTGTGTTATTTCTGCTAACATTTCGGGACATCACGGCACTGAAGCAGCCGATCGACAGTGAGGACACAAAGGGTGGTAAGTAAACGAGTATTAAATTTTGTTGGCAGTAGGACAATTCTATACTTAAACTTACTAACACCACCAATAACGCTCTACACAAGACTTATTTACTAGCGAAGTGTTTCGAACTGAAAAGGAACGCCAAAGCATAGTTGTGAAGTTATGCTTCATTTTTGAAATAAAAACTTTTATGAAAAATATATGCTTGAAAAGTAGAATGTAGAAGAAGCATACATTTTTCAAGTTATACTCTGCTTTGGCACTCCTTTTCTACTTTAGCATGTTTGAGTTTGAATGTAGCACTTTTCTTCTAAACTTTCGAGACTAGAAAACCATAACAATGTCACTCAGTAATGTTTACGGCCAGTATGCTGAATTAAATTTCGAAAATAAAACAATATGAAATCAAAATAATGATGAATGAATGAAATATAGGTTACTGTAATTAACACAATAGCGCTAGTATGTCAAAATATGCTGAGTATGTATAGCAGCAAAAATGTCAAACTTTTGGCAAGTTATGAGTTCCCAGATTGTAATACTACGATTGCCTTTGTAGTGTGCAAATAGTTAGTGTTTTCTAGACAAAACTCTCCAGACTACTGTTAAATATAACATATAGACCAATATTCTTCGAATTACCATTACGAAAAAGTACAAAACGTTACTTTAAGTTTAAAATATCCATTAAATCTGGCATATAATTTTGTTGTGATAAATCTGAAAAACACAAAACTGCAAAATTTTGCGACAAATTTTTACACTCAAAAACTCGATTTTTATTGGAAAAATTTCTAGTTTCGAAATTCATTCCTTCATTCACTGTTTATTTATCAGCTAAAATACAAATCAATGATTGGCTTCAATTGGCTTTTTATCATAATTTCTTATATGTGTTCACGAAGTTACCAAATTTATGTTATATTAATTTAAATATTTTTTAAAGAGGCAAAATTTCAGCAAAAACAAAAAAAAAATCAAAATTCTGCACTACAAATACTTCACTTAATTTGTATATTCTGAATTTGAAACTCAAACCAAAATAAATAGCAAGAAGTCTAATAGGACGATCGTCAGGCGAAATATGAAATCAGAGCTATTTTAGAACAACTGCAAGTTAACGCCTTCACTTTCAAACACTCCACAAAGGAAGCATAACACTGAGCAGCTGTCGAAACTCTGCGCTGATCTCTAAACAGTTTGCACTACATAACTGAGCAAAACTAATTCCATCATCAATTTCATGCTTTGAACTTCACCTCAGTATTGCGTCACCATAAACTCCCTTAGCGTATGAATTTCTACTATTTCATGTTGGATTTTGCCGATTTCTCTCTATTATTGCAAATTTCAAATTTCAGTTGTCGTTGTTGTGTTGTGTTGTCGTCGTTAATGTAAATTTTTTGATATTTACTCTCAAGTTTTAGGTTTATCGAAATTCGCCAAACTGGCGCGTTCGGTGACACGAAGCCGTCAATTCAGCGCACATCTGCCAACACTAAAGGATCCAACGAAGCAATCCAACCTGGCGCATGTAAGTGGCACTCACGTGATGCTTCGTTTAGGATATATTTTAGTCTAACTTACTTTGAACTTACTTTCTGCTTTCATTTCTTAAATTTCTTTCGATTTCGATTGTTGATCTGTTTTATCTATACTACTTGCCACTTCATTTCCCTCTTACAGATGATGTCACTCAGCGCCGATATTATGCCACAATACAGACAAGAAGCGCCTAAGACGCCGCCACACATTCTTTTGCATTATTGTGCATTTAAAGCAATTTGGGATTGGGTGATATTATGTTTAACATTTTATACCGCCATTATGGTAAGCTGTAACTTTTTGGCACTTGGCGTGTGTGACAAATGGAACACGCACATAAAACGGCATAAATTATGTAATTGACTGATTTTAATGGTCGCCAGAAAATGTCGGCAAATGTAGCTTAAATTATTCAAGAACAATCGACATACCTGCAAAGAAAAGGAAAACATATTATTAATAAAAGAAAATCTAATCAAGCTATAATAAAGTATTATTACATAGAATGTAGTTTGTGGTGATATAGTGATTGATTTGTAATAAACATAAAATAAACTGGTAGGGAGAGTCTTGAGCTCGTAATTGCTCTTCAGTTCTCACTTTATGGGGTGTGACGAGCAGCTTTTGGTTTTGAAATCTTCTTTATTTAGGTTAGTCGAAAAAGTATGTTCGTATTTCTATGTATGTTTTTGCGGTCGTGTATCTCCAGTGCAACCAATCAAATTGTGTCATACCACAGAGTGTTGGAAAGGTGAGATTTTAGGCTTCATTTAACATTTGGCAAAAAGTGGTCGACCAAACGAAAAGACTTTTTCGATTACCATATGAAATGTTAAGGTTGCTAAAGTTTCGACGAATTCTTAACCGAAAATAGTTCGTCGGTTCGGAAAACAAGTTAGAAGAATATTATATGGGCGTAAGAAGAATAATTGTTGAACTGGTAGTACCTCAAATCGATTTAAAGGAGAGTTGAAGGTTCGAAAGTATGATATTCAAAGAACGTTATACTTCAATTGAGAGGAAAGAGAATAAGATAGCTATTTCCCGTCTCCTTTTGCCTTGTGGAACACTCTTGGAATTTTTTTAAGAATCAAACGAATGTTTTCTCAACATCAAAAGCCAGCGACAAGTCAGAAGAGCTTTGTATAAATAGTATATAAAACTGATTGTGGTAATGGCAATCCTTAAAATCAATTTCAAGGAAAACTGAGGGTTGCAATTGCTGAGAGTGCCCACGTGCAATAGTGCAATAGAGCTATTCCGCGTCTGCTGTAGCGTGAAGTGTCTCACTTGAAGTTCATTTGAGCATCAAACCAACGTTTTCTCAACATCAGACTAAAATCCTTTCCGCTAGTTTCGCATACCGGCTTGGAACAGCCAGCAACCTGCGCAACGCGCATTTCGCATAGGGTATCTAGGGTATCAAATCGGTCTGAGCCTAATGTGTGTGTACGACACCCAAGCGCCATAAACGACCACTTTTATTACATTACGTATTCAAAATTTGCGCTTTGAATGAGGTTCCTGTGTGCCGTTGACACACATAGATTTTGCTAACGCGATTCCGTGTAGAAATTCGTAAGCGGAGTGGCTCGTAAACGTGTTAGAGAGCCAACATTTATGTGCTCATGTTCTTTGGGCATAATGAATACGCGTCAGCCGGTGTGGTAGCTCTGTGTGGTTAACGGTTGCTACCCGTTTGACGAGTGCTGCAGAATCATGTGATTTGTGCGCTCAAGTGCACACATGATTTTGGAAAGTGAGTTAGTTACTACTACGAGCGAGCTGAAATTCTATTTTTCTGAATGATTAAACATTCTACACTCTTTGCTGGAAGGAGGCGACAATCCAAAATGAAACCGCATTTATTAAGAAGAGACAGTCCTCCAAATGAAATATCTTTCGGTTATTAGTGCGTGTTCCAAGTTTTTTCTTGCAATAATATTATCATGGCAACTCTATATAATAATTACGTAATTCACTTTGCAGGTGCCATACAATGTAGCTTTTAAAAACAAAACTTCAGAAGACGTTTCATTACTCGTCGTTGACTCCATTGTAGATGTTATATTCTTTATAGATATCGGTGAGTAAAACAATCTTTTTTAAAAGTGGGACGGGGACGCGGAGAGTCCAAGAATCCCCCCCAAATTCTACTCGGGATCCGTCCCTGACCTAAAATAACACATAAATAATATAATACTAGATTATACATGTGCACAATACAAAACATAATGACTTCTTTTGGGTAGAAATGCGTACTTAAGTGGTTACAGCAGTTTGTCTAAGCTTATGACAATTCTAGTACGTCTTAACGTTTTCATCTAAACACCCATAGCTTATCCCTCATTCACATACTTTGCTCAGAAACGTTCGAATTTCGCAATACTTTCTCGAAATCTTCTCATTGCAGTTTTAAATTTCCACACAACGTTCGTGGGCCCCGGCGGTGAGGTCGTCAGCGACCCCAAAGTGATACGCATGAACTACCTAAAGTCCTGGTTCATCATCGATCTGCTCAGCTGCCTGCCATACGACGTCTTCAACGCTTTCGATCGCGATGAGGACGGCATTGGCTCGCTCTTCAGTGCGCTGAAAGTGGTGCGTCTGCTGCGACTGGGGCGCGTGGTGCGCAAGCTAGACCGCTATCTGGAATATGGCGCCGCCATGCTCATACTGCTGCTCTGTTTCTACATGCTGGTGGCGCATTGGCTGGCCTGCATCTGGTACTCGATCGGCCGCAGCGATGCCGATAATGGAGTAAGTGTGGTACATGACACAAACATTGTCCAAAAGGAAACAAGCGATTATACAAATCACAAATTTGTCCGGCTGCTCTTCTCTTCCCCCCAAAATACTTATACTTTCACAACCACCGCCTTTTCGTTTTATTCGCTTATTCGTTTTATTACCAAACTCGCTTTTACATTTTTGTTCCGCACTTATTTGCTTGTATTTATTTTCGAATAGATACAGTACAGTTGGCTGTGGAAGCTGGCCAATGTGACGCAATCGCCATACTCGTACATCTGGAGCAACGACACCGGACCGGAACTGATAAATGGTCCGTCGCGCAAGAGTATGTATGTGACGGCGCTGTACTTCACCATGACATGCATGACTTCGGTGAGTTCTATGCAGTCGAGCGCTGCTTTTGCAAATACGCCTTACCTAAATCAGAGCGAAAACTTTATACATTTAATTTGTCGTTATTTCTTCGGTGTTGCATGCATTTTTAACGGAATCACTTTTGTGTACTTGCAGGTGGGGTTCGGCAATGTGGCCGCCGAGACGGACAACGAGAAGGTGTTCACCATCTGCATGATGATTATTGCAGGTGCAGTGTCCGACACGTTCCGTTGCCGCGTCCAATTTCGCTAAACGAAACGAAATTGCGCAACGCTTCGTAAGAGACGTAAACGCAAAACGGCAGCCGAGCAAATGTGTGCGCCCCGAGCGAGAAAACGCGTAGTGAATAATTAAACCGAAATTAAAATAAATTTAATAATAAAAACGATACATGCTCCGAGAATTTCTGAAAAAATTTCCTTTTATTATTAAAAAAACTTTAAGTTTTGCGACAAGGCCACGTGGTTGCTATGGAATCGCCACGCTACACGGGCTCACACATTTCGCCGCCGTCACGCCGCTAGAACTAATAAATGCTGAGTTGGTGTAGTGTGCCTCTGTTGAATTATTTCATTAGTTAAAAGAAATTTCAAAAGTTCAGTCGAAAAAAGCTCATGAAATTTCCCGTTGAACCCACATTTCGTAGCGCAGTTGTTGTTTCTGAATCACATTTTTGCCAGTACTCATACCAGTAGCTCTCTGTAGGCTAAGCAATCGAATCAGCGCTCACCACCACTGACACCATTTCATGCATTTTCTTTACTTGAAAGCGAAAGAAGGGCTAAAGCCCCAACACTGGAACATTCGACTCTCTCTAACTGAAACTCCTGCTCTTTTCTCTGTACAAAATTTTCATAATCAACATATTTTTATCTAAACTGTATATAAACTTTAAATATTTCCGAAATACAACACTGCGTCTCGAAATTTAAATAGTTGGACAATTCGTCGCTATGTGTGAGTTCCAAAAGCGGACAAAAAAAAACAAAAATGCTGGATTTCGCTTTGTTTTGCGTTGGTGTTAGTTTTTGGTGATCAAACTGTAGGTTATGGATGTTTTTGAGTGTTGATGTGCTACTTCTTGTCACGTAAGTAGATTCTCACTGCACTTTGGGGATAAAAAAATAAAACGCCTAAATATTCTTTAAGCAAAAGGCTTATACTAGCTCTATTTCTGAAGCCTTGATCTTCCGCGAAGTTGTCCAAAAATTGTTAAATCTTTTGAAATGTAGGCAGCCAGTTGTACCAAATCAAGCTGGGTCATAAAGTGACACTTCGACTCAGAGATGGTGGGGTTTAGTTTCGGGTAAATCTACTAATCCAGCGAGACTAAAGTGTAGACAACCACATTGTTGGTGGTTCATAATGTGATACTGTAAAGCCACAGAAATCTCAGTGCTGGTGGGGTCCACATGCAGCCTCTGCTACATCTGCTTAGAGTCGGACGAGACCAAAAGTCAAAAGATTTTCTGTGCTCAAATGACCGCTTCGACTCAATGGTTCATAAAGGGATGGTGGGGTTCCACGTGTTGTCTCAGGCACTTCTATTAATAGTCGGACGAGACCAATAGTCGATAAGAAACTTCCGACTCAATGGCTCATAAAGTGATACTATAAATCCACTGCGATTTAGAGATCCCAGTGATGATTGCGTTCCACATGTTGTCTTATGTATACCTACTAAAAGTCGGATGAGACTAAAAGTCGGTAAGACGTTTTCGACCGTGTGCAATATGCGCAATATTTTTTTGGGGTTTCTGTTCTCATGCATGAATTCTGATTCTAAACATTGAAAAACACTTAAATATTAATCTTTAGTTCTTTAAGTTTGCTTTGGGCTGATCTACATCGATAAGTATATTTTAATTTATTTCATAAATCAAAGATGGCAGACAACATGGGGGCCTACTCCGTGGAGCACGAAGAACGTTTTCACCAAGATGTGATGTACTTTGAACGTCGATACCAAGAGCAGTACAACGAGAATATGATGGGAGATTATATTTGGAGTTTAAGACGAGGGAGCTCATAAGAGCATAAAAGAAATACAAAAAATATTCACTTTTAGACAGTAATTTCTGGTTATTTTACATTTATCTATTATTGTTTACCTCACATCTTGAATAAAAACGACTCTTGTATCTAAAAAAAGTTTTCTAATTATAATCTATAGTGAAATTGTAGCAAAAAATATAAAAATCAGTAATTTCTGCTTAAAAATTTAAAAAATTCTGTAGTTTCTACCAAATCAAACTTTAACCGGGAAAAGATTTTTTTCCTTATTTTTTGTCATAGGAGAAACTTAAATTTAACACGTAAATGTCAGAACGAAAAATTGTTTTGACTGGTGTTATCAGAGGAGGTTAAGTCGTAGTCGCCAATTATTTAGAATCCAGCTGAGCTCAATCAAGCTATATTGGTATTTCTGAAAGGGTCATTGTCTATATATACTAAGTTGTATTAAACAGTACAATATCAAGGTCTGCTTTGGGCAACACTATACAGTCAAAGCACCGAAATACCTGGCTGTAAGACTTTCTAAAGGCGCTGCACATTACACTGAATAAGACATAGATGCCAGAGTTCGCTTAGTAAATCCCGAGATTCTTTCTCTGACCGAGAGACCAGCAACGACGCAAAATTAGAGCACACATTTACATAAAGTTGTTTTTGAGGCTAAGAGCTTTCAAGGAAGCCATAATTAAAAATAACTGTCGAGTTATGGAACCCTTATTTTACCAGAATTGCTTATACCCAGCCAATTCACCTCCTCGAAAAGTAAAAGTCATTTGAGCACAGAAAGATTGAGTTAAGAGGTCAATTCTAAGTTGGATCTCACTTGGGCAGCTTAGAACGCCGGCACATTTTGATAAAAAAGCTAATCTCAAATTTTTTTTTTGAATAAAAATCAGTATTTAACGAAATTCTACAAGAACAAATAGGAAACCGTAAGGCCTAAAACAAATGCTTTTGCCGGAGCTACAACTCTTTACTGTTTTGTTGTTAGCAAAGCGGTGATGAAGTTAAAAATGTTTGTTGAGGCTCACGCAAAAGCATGTAAGAAACGTATACCCACTTTGTTAACCACTTCTATATATATTTCGATTTCTCGGCACTGCCATTATTTTTCTGCCACCTTCATACTCATAACACAACAACAAATTTGGGCATTTATTACTGTTCTAGCTTGCGTTCGTAATTCGCATACTAATTTCTTCAGCTCTTCTACGAGTACTATGTATTTATCGCTCCTATTGAGACCCTTAATACTGTCACATTAATTCCCTTACTCCTCCTCCAGCCATCTACATTTGCCACGTTCCACCTCCCACACCCCACACTTCCATTCCATTCATGTGTGTTGTTTCATTTCTTATTCTGCTCAGTGTTAAGTACCCTAAAAGTATGCTGCATAAAATGGATTATAATTGAAATGAAATTTTTAGAAGCGCCATAAAATAGTCCACTTAACCCAGTGAGCTTGCGCGCACGCACTCATTTAAATGAGCACACAATTAATTTTCTTTCATATTTTCGCTTATTTCCACTCTCTGCCACCGTGTAGCGCTGCTGTACGCGACGATATTCGGTCACGTGACGACCATCATCCAGCAGATGACCTCAGCGACAGCGAAGTACCACGACATGTTGAATAATGTGCGCGAGTTCATGAAGTTGCACGAGGTGCCGAAGGCGCTCAGCGAACGCGTCATGGATTATGTGGTCTCCACGTGGGCCATGACCAAAGGCTTGGACACCGAAAAGGTAATGCACGCATACCGCCAACACAAAAACACTCATCCTCAGCCACACACAAACGCATATGTATGCCGCGATTTAATAGTATGCTGAGTATGTACGTATGTATGCAAGCAGAAAAGCTTTTGTACAGTATGTAAATTGTATGCGAATAGTTGAGTATATTTTAGTTGAGTAGTTAGAAGAGCTTCAGCCTAGTGGTGTGCTCGACATTATTTAACTCGAAAAATGTAAAAAGTACACAAAAAATAAATTTATACGAAAATTGGTGCACACACTCGACCACTAGACCACTCTTCACAAGCAACTGGAGCCACTTCAATACTTAATGTGTCACGCAAAGCCAGAGTTACACACACAACATACGGCCGCAACCACCGTGCCGCTATGGTCAACACGAAACCGAACACAGCGGACACACACGCATACAACCACGGCACCACAGCTAACTTCACACACTTTAACAGACACCCACGCACTCAGCCAACGCGCAAAAGTAATGCACCGCAATCTGTGTGTGTAAGCGGAGGTGCATAGTTTTAGGCGCTTTCCAAAGCTTCATGCGCGTTTTTCATTAAGCAGTACCTGCATTTCCATTTTCATAATTTGCTTGCAACACATTTCTTTCGCGTTCTGGGCCATTTAAGCCCCGCTAACGTTTGCTTTTGCTTTTAGAGCGCGATTTTATTCTTACTTAACTTCAAAGTTTTTTCTGCTTAGCGCCTTTTTCCTAAACTTTTTTATAACTTCACAAACGCTTTGTAAATGTTTGCTATTTACTTGCTCTTTGCTGCCTCTTCATGCTTTTATAACTTTGTTTTCGAACTAATTTTCGAATCCAGCTCAATTTGCATTTTACTTTATTTGTCTCTCTTTTTTATTTTTCTACTCCCTTTAACTACGTCCAGGTAAGCTCGCTCGCTCGTTCGGTCATCATGCTCGGTTTAGCGCCTCATAAAAACCGCAAATCCGTGCGCCAAAACGAAAAGCGTCCGTCAAATCCGTGCCTTTAGATGGAATTTAAACCAAATCATGGCAATATTCAAAAGCTCATAGAAAGCTCAATATATTTTGTCAAAGCTTGTAGCGCATTTGGTTTAAATCATTATAGGAGCGCAATTGATGCGTTCTGAAACAGATAGAAGCGTCTTTATACCATTTTCGTTGACTGTAGTTTGTGCCTAAAAATAGTATACTATAGACTACAAACACATGAAATACATACAACCAGCAATAGCGACTAGCGACAACAGTAGCACAAAACAATTCCGAGCTTATGTCGGTTATCACTATTTTACAGAGAAAACATCTAGGTCTGACTCATTAAAAGTAAACACACACATACATAGAAGCGACATACGAGAATCGCCGAAGGAACGAACACTTACTCTCACATAGCGAAGCAGCAAAAAAAGTTGCCAGGTGTCTCAGTCGGAAATGGAGTTGAGCGCGCGCTTAGCGATCTTTTAATTCGTGAAAGCGCTGTGAAAACTTAAAATATTTTTTAGTAAGCAGCGTTGGTGAATCGCTCTTAAAGAGAGCTCCTGGTGGCTAGACATTCTATTTCAAAATTAAATTTATTTAAGCTAAATCTATGCAGTGTTTGAAAGGCGGAACTCGCTAACCACGCAGACTCAATTCCATTTCCCAGTGAGATTCGAAAATGTCTGTACGTATGTGTGAGTGTGCGTGTGCATCATGCTATTTTGTATCAAATATCACCCGCTACTTTTTCAGCGTAAAATAAATTCATTTCTAACAAAAAATGTCAAAATGGGTATTCACAAATCTGCTAAAAGCGTTCAATCCAATTAAGCTTTTTGACAGCTTTCATTGGTTTGACGAGAAACTTTCACAAATCTGCCAAAAGCTGCCAAAGCCATTGAGCTTTTTGACAGCTTTCATTGGTTTGATGAAAAAGTTCGCCAGGCCTGTCATTTAGACTTGAAACCCTATGAATACCCGTTATGCATGTTACTCATATATCGAAATTTATGCTCATCGCTTCAGATTCAGCGCCATGTACTCATCTCTCTCTCTATCTCTCTACTACTACTCTCTCATCACTCTATGCACTCATTTATCTGCATTGCACATTTGTTTTTGTTTTTCTTTCGATTTCCTTCATTTTCACATCGTATTTGATTTGCCACGCCCATCTGTTTTGATTTTGTTGTGCTCTCGCACCTTGTTTGACGTTTTGCCGTTTATGATGCGGCTTGGCCACTTCGCAGGTACTAAACTATTGTCCGAAAGATATGAAGGCTGACATTTGTGTTCATCTAAATCGCAAAGTATTTAACGAGCATCCAGCATTTCGTCTTGCCTCGGATGGTTGTCTACGCGCGCTAGCCATGCACTTCATGATGTCGCACTCGGCGCCGGGCGATCTGCTCTACCACACCGGAGAGAGCATCGACAGTTTGTGTTTCATAGTGACCGGCAGTTTGGAGGTGATACAGGACGATGAAGTTGTGGCAATATTGGGTGAGTTTTCAAAACCTTGCTTTGAACCGAAAACTTCCTAAGGGTGCCAAACAACACTAGGCTCCAAAGTTTGTCCACCTTTAGGGAGCGTCCTCTGTAGCGCCAATCCTATTTTGCACTTAATCACACTTTCCTTGCAGCGTGCTAAGTTTTCCAATTGTGCTCTCTTTCGCTCTATTTCACTCTCTCCCTCTATTTCTGTATATACCCGCTTGCACCGACATGCTTTGTGTTTCTCTGAAACTTATATGCTATTCTCTTGACTCATAGGTAAGGGCGACGTCTTCGGCGATCAATTCTGGAAGGATTCGGCTGTTGGCCAGAGCGCTGCCAATGTGCGCGCCCTAACCTATTGTGATTTGCATGCCATCAAGCGTGATAAATTGCTCGAAGTCCTCGATTTCTATTCGGCATTTGCGAATAGTTTTGCACGCAATCTGGTGCTCACCTACAATTTAAGACATCGACTGATTTTTCGCAAGGTGGCCGATGTGAAGCGCGAGAAAGAATTGGCCGAACGGCGTAAAAACGAACCTCAATTGCCTCAAAATCAAGACCATCTGGTGCGTAAGATATTCTCGAAATTCCGTCGTACGCCGCAGGTGCAAACCGGCTCCAAAGAGGTTGTCTCCGGTCAAAGTGATGTGGAGAAGGGCGACGGCGACGCGGATCGCACCAAGGTATGTACGCGCAACGTGTACGTAAGTCAACGGTTCTTTGTAAATATATATGTTTGCGTGTGTGTAACGTAGAATGTGCGTGCGGCGTTGCCGTATTTTATGTGCTAAATGCATGTGTGTGCGTATTTCGTGTACGTTTTTTATTTGATTTTACATTTACATTTTTTGTAATAGCATTTTTATTATTATATTATTAAATGTGTATTTTTATCAATGTGCGTTGTATGTTTGTCACATAAAATACTGTATAATTTCGTGCTTTGGATACTGTTACTCTTAACTAATATTAATTGTGTATGAAATAATGAAAACTGTGCTTTTCGCAACGTCAAATTGTAAGTATGATGGGACGAGGTGTAAACATGGTATATGTATTTGTAGAAACAAGGAAGGCGAAAAAGATTTATAAAATTATTTACAGTAAATACTCAAACCCGGTTTAACAGACCCTGCATATGTCAAAGTGAATACAATTTTGATTTCTGTGTTAATATTAGACTTCAAGTTCTTATATGAAGATCCTAAATATATTTTCGTTCCTAGACCCCAAATGAGTTTTGATATTAATTCAAGCCATTCCTTCCACACAAAGTATAAAACATTTCTTTTCCATTAAGATCTTTCTTCTATTTTGTAATTAGTTCACTATTTCACTCAAAATACCGCAGTTTTCTAAATAAAAAAAAATATTTTTTATTACATGTTTTAAACATTTAATTAGATACTATTCCCAACTAAGTTCCCTCAGCATGCAAAGCTTACTTTCTTCTATATATTGGGTAGTTGAAAAAGTTTTTCGCATTTTGTCAATAGATGACGTTGCAGTCGTATAACTCCAGAGCTCCCAATCACATTGTGCCATCCCGGTAGTATTAGAAAGGTGAGATTTTAAGCCTCTTTAAGCAAAAAGAAAATAAAATTCGGTTGAAAAAAGGTACAACTGTTCAAATATTAGTGAAAATAATGAAGAAATTCGCTATATTCAGGACCGTCACATAAGCAGCCCTGACATTGCTAAGGAACTTAACATTCATCATCAAACGGTTTTGAACCATTTAAAAAAGATTGGCTACAAAAAGTGAACTCGATGTTTAGGTACTACATGAATTGTAGGTGAAAAATTTAATGGACCGAATTAAGATCTGCGATTCTTTACTGAAACGAAATGTAATAGAACCATTTCTGAAGTAAATGGCAACAGGAGACGAAAAGTGGATCAAATGCGACAACAATGTGCGAAAAAGATCATGATCCAGGCGTGGTGAAGCTCAACAAATTTTTGCAAAGCCAGGATTTACGCCTCCAAAGGTCACGGCGAGTATTTGGTGGAATTGGAAAGGAACTATCTACAATGGGCTGCTCCAGCCTGGTCGAACGAAACGACCAGAACTTATCAACAGATAGGGCCTCGTCTCCATCAGGACAACGCTAGACTACATAATATATCTTTGATGACTCGGCAAAAACAGGGAGAGATTGGCTGGGAAGTTTTGATTCATCCATCATTTAGCCTTCACTTTGCATCATCGGACTACCGTTTGTTTTGGTCAATGCAGAACTCCCTGAATGCAGTAAAGTTGGCTTCAAGAGAAGCCTGTAAGAATTACTTATCGCGGCTTTTCCCCGAGAAGCCAGAAAGTTTGGAAGCTGATGGAATAATGTCTCTAGTGGAAAAATGCCAAAAAGTGGTCGACCAAAATGGTGCATATTTGGTTCATTAAAATTCATTATAAATATAAAAAATAAGTTGAAGTTTGTTTACAAGTAGGAAAATACTTTTCCCACTACCCAATATAACTATGTACGCACCTCAAAGTGAATTTAGTATTTCTTACTGCTGCCTTAATTTCTCTTCTGCCACTATTGTTCTTATAATAAATTATAGTATACCTTTAGGCGTCAAAGAAATTTAGTGCTTAAGAAAACATTAAATTTCTATGTAACTCTCCATGAACAAACATCGCATGCACATCAGTGAATTAGCACAAAATATATTGCCTAGTTTTAGGCATCAAAATTTTTGCTATTAACTGCATAGATTGTTATTACTTATGGTAATTACTGTTTATATGTGCGTATATCTCGTAGCCTATTTGTTTCGTTCCAAAACCATTAAGTTAAAAAATAACTGTATTTAAAAAACAAAATATATGTATATGTACTCGTACTTATGCTTGTTGTCTCTTTTTCTCTTCTCCCACTCATCCGAAAATAAAAACATCCCTGCTTACGCAAACCTCAACGTCCATTTCCACAACTGTCCCGTCTAAACTGTCATATATTACTACAATTTAACACTATTTCGATATACGCTCTCTAATATTCGCATTATCTCTGAATGAAAATCTGAATGGCTTAAATGTTTGTGTTTGTTGTTCTGTTTTGTTGTGACTTTTTTGAATTTCACAAAATTTTTACACAAAAACATTTCGAAATTGCATACTAACAACAAAATTGTTTACTGCTCATTTTATCTATTTTCACATGCTTAACCCTTACACCACCGAAACATATTGTCTTTGCAATCCTTTTTCCGCACGGTCACCACCGCCACACATTTTTTGTGTGGGTTTTTGTTTAACTTTTCTTTTACTTGATATCCTTGCAACCTCTTTTCCGGCTGCCCGCAATCTCGCCTTGCTCGTGTTTGTTTGTGACAACCCATTCAAGAAGTTGCCTGCTAAATTAACCCTCACAGAGGACTCACGCATCCTAACAACAGCTGCCGCACCCTCTCCAACGCCATCACCCTCGCCCTCATCGGGTCCACCATCTGCGCGTAGTACGCGTGCTAGTAAATGGGGGCGCCTTTTGGGCAGTTCAAGTGTCGATTCGGCTAGCGATACAAGCGCCAAGGTAGCAGTCTCGAGAAGTTTGAGCGCCCGCGAAAGTCTGCGTGAGAGCACTGCCCAAGCGCGGCAGAGCAGTACTTCGAGTAGTAATGGTGGACAAGGCAATAAAGTAATTACAAAAGCTTAAATAGATAATAATGAAAATATTTTAAACAGCGAACAATTAAAAATACAGTCACCATTTAGCATTAAGCCTTGCACATTAACTGATTTCTGTTTCTCCTGATTTCTAATTTTATTATTGGCTGTCTAGTATTTTTTTCTAAGTTCATTTCTATTTTACTTTGGCGGATTCGAATACATTGCCGAGATAATAAAAAATATTTTTCAACAAAAGCTTAAAAAGCACACTAAGCTCTTCCAAAGCTCGGTCATGAAGCTTTGCAAAGCTTTACTGAAAATATCAAATAGTTACCAAAAGCTCAGATTCAAGAGAATTCCGAAAGCGCTATAACGTTAGTTTTAAAAACTTGTAAAAAGAGTACATTTAAGTTTTAGAGCTTACATGTAAATATTTATTATTTGAGATGCTAGTTGATTGAGCTCTCTAAAAGGACCTAAATAAAAGGCTTTAAATAAAAATTCTAATAATTTCATGAAGAGCAACTAAATGATTTAGATAGCTCGCTCGGTGCCTAAGAGCTTTAGATGGTCTTCCCCTCTTTTAAAATTTTACTAAAGACAGGAAACAACATAAGTTTCTCGTCATCAGACCCAGTGAAGAAGTCAAGTCTCCAGTCATCAGTCACAAATATTTTTAACACATTAATGCACTTCCATTAGTCAGATATGATCATTGGCGCCACATTCCCGAGAGTAAGCTAGTTCAATTGGTTCCGTGAGCCATCGGCCCATTCTTAATCGCAAATCCTTTCTGGTCCTATTTAATGGCGTTAGAGAAGCACACCAATGGCTTTCATTTGCAGAGCGCCGAGTCCTTAGAGACAAGCTTACAAATTATCGAACTGAGGGACCCGTTGTCAACCGCAGCTGTGGCGGCAGCAGCCGCAAAGCGCGTCAAGAGTTTGGAATCGCTGACTACCGCAACGGCGACTTCTTCGTGGGTGGAACGCAAATGGCGCCGCATACGGATACTGGACGTTAGTAAACATAGCCGACTTAATCTACACTAGCTAAAAAAGCGAAATTATTGTATTTTTTCATTTCTTTTTGACATAGAAAACAGTACAAAAAGTAGTTGGCGGCACTGGAAGATTTGTTATGTAGTGTCTGCTATGATTGTAAGCCAGAGTTGCCACCCATAGAGTAAATGAAAATCTTGTCTTAGCTGCTAGTTATTACTTGGTTGTTTTGTTGATTAATTGTCTGCCTTCTTCAGTTATTTAATATTGGGTTATTGGTATGTACTTGTATCATTTATTTCAGTATGTAAATTCTGTTTTTTGAATATTATTTCGGCATATACCCGAATGTCCAGTAAAGTTTCTTATAGCAGTAAGTTTTAGTTTGAACAAAGTACGCGCTCAATCGTTAAATAAACAAAGCTAAATATAAAATCTAACAAATTAAACAATAATTAATGAACATTATTTCTCCCTTTCTCACTTCCCAAAAAAAAAAAATAAATAAATAAATAAAAAATGCATGCATACCGTTTGACCTAATCTACCCCGTAATACCGCAAAACCTTCACAATATCATCTCCTATGCAACCCTGGACCTGCAAATGGCCGCAACACAAATTGCATCTTCCGTTCGTTGGCTTCGTGAAACATCGTACTGACCGACACACGCGCACTGAGGATATGCTCATTTTGTTCTCTCGCTCTCGCACATTGCACACTTTTTAACTACGCTCTACATGTACGAACTTCTTGCTGTTCGTTCTTCGACATATTCACCCAAACCAACATAAAAAATTCATCACTGCGTGTTTATTGCCTATCCTACTGCCTGCCTGCCGATCCACGATTTTCAATTTCAACCACACCTTTACTTCCCTTTCATCACCATCTCGCTCTTTCTGTCTCTCTCTCTCTCAATTATATGAATGCATTCAGGTTTTTCCTAAAGCTCCTAAACTACAGGCTAGTCAAGCGGCGCTCGCGCGCCAGGATACAATCGACGAAGGCGGAGAAATTGACGCCTCGCCTCCCAGTCGCGACACGCGACTAGTTGGGGAAAGTGGCTCGGCAGCAGCAGTAGCGGCGGCTGCACTGGCAGCTAAAGAGCGCAACCTTGCATTGGAGCGTGAAAGGCAAATCGAAATGGCTTCGTCACGTGCCACCACCTCGGACACCTATGACACAGGTTTGCGCGAACAGCCACCCACAATGGCGCAACGCGATTTGATCGCAACCATGTTGGATTTAAAAGTCGATGTCCGTCTGGAAATGCAGCGCATGCAGCAGCGCATCGGACGCATTGAGGACTTATTAGGTGAGCTGATGAAACGTTTACCTGCACAGGAATCGTCGGGTCAAACAACGCCAGCTGATGAGCTCGGATCCGGTAGTGGTGGTGGTGGCGTGCCTGGTGCGGCCGGCAGCACGGTACTGACTACACGCATTGGTGTAGTCGATGGCGGCGGTGGTGGCACACACTCGACCGCGGTTACGCCAGCTGCGGACACTGTGATAACTATATCAACGGTGCCGCCCACGCCACCCATTAGCACAAGCGCCGCCTCGGGTGTAGTGGTACAGATCGGCGGTGTAGGTGGTGGCGGCGCAGGAGGCGTTGGTGTGCCTACAACTACGACGTCCGCAACCGTGGCGGTAGGCGCAGGCTCCACGCCCATTCCACAAACACTGAGCCTGCTTAGCCCAGCACAGATGGGGTCAGCGGCGACACAAGGCGGCAATGGACTGGGACCGCTAATGCTGAAAAAACGGCGTTCGAAGAGCAGGAAGGCACCAGCGCCTCCCAAGCAGCCATCACATGTGCAGAGTCCAGAGCAGCAGCGTTTGCTGGAAGAGGAACCCATTGTGACGGCCACGACGGTAGTGCCGGTGACGGCGCCAACAGTAACAACGCCAACAACAGCTACTTCGAGCAGCGCAGCCACATCGCCCACAACGGCCGGACCGTCGTCGCTGGGCGGAGGTGGCAACACCAGCGGCACATCTAGCGGCAGCGGCAGTGGCGGTGGTGGACGCAGCAAACGTGAATTTCTCTAGCCCAAGATATTGGTGCGCCATCAATCGGACACTGGCAGCAGCTTCGAGCAATAATACGGCGAATAAAGCAGACTGCGCAAGACGATGGCGTACAGCTGAAGGAAGCTGCGGAACGCTTCATGTTCATTTTAGGCTGCTGCGGCTTCTGCTGACTAAGTTTTAGTATAACATAGCATAGCATAAGATGTTTTTCAGTAATTAAATTTTCTGTCAACTAGAGTATAGAAGCTTTCGAAAGCTTAAAATTTAGCGAGCTAAATTGCGAACTGCGACACGCAAAGCAACTTGAAGCGTCGAGCAGAAAAATATTTGTGATAACCAACCAGATATTATGACTATGAAAAATTATAAAAACAAAATAAATCTATAAAAATTAAATGTCACCTAGTTAAAAGCAAACCACAAGACCTGTTATAAGCCGCTTAGAAAATTTGTAAATTTATTTGTAAATATGTATTACAAAGCGAGTTCAAATGCTCGCCTGTTGAAGCTGTGTAGATATATAATATGCATAAATAGATTATACATGCCAGACAGAGGCGGAGACGAAGACGGAGGCATAGGCCAAAACGTCTCGCAGTACAGTCATAAATAACTATAGATTCATTATAGATACTTAACGACGACAGCAGAAATACTTCGCTTGGTGAAGCTCCTTGCCTTTTTGAGGAATTGAATACCCACTAATTTGCAAACAAAAAAAAAACAAAAAAAATTGTCTTCAACAAAGCTCGATTTACTGCTACTTGGCTGTGTAATTTTTCCGAACCACTTTTTTATGGTTTTGTGGCAATATTTTAATTCCGCTAATCTTATTTTGGGAACGGGGCGAGCTTAAAACATCGCAATACAAAGCCTATAGCAAAGCTTAAAGCGCTCAACAGCAATCCAACTTTTTTAATCTGGTTTGATAAACATTCTCTACTAAAAACAATTCAAAGACATTTTGGAAAATATACTAGAGTAGGTTCACAATAAACTTCAAACATCGAAAACAGTTATTGAAAGCTCTTGAAAAGCTCATAATGCAATTACAAAAAATGTTTGCTTTGCGAGAAAAAAAAAACTCAGAAGAATGGACAAATATTAGGCTTTTCGCTTACGTATAAATTGATATCATGCAAAAGCAAGAAAACTAAGATTTATTATTTGCTATTTCTAGCCCTCACTGTACTCAATTTTGTTGTTTCATTTCGTACAATATAATTACTCCACTTTGCCAGATATCCTGCTGGCATGGCTATGTAGTCCTTCCCTTAAGCGAAGCCCATCTTTGTCGGCTAACAAAGCGTACACAATGTTGCCATATATTTGTTTTAAAAATAGTTATTTTATCTTCTGAGTCTTTAGAACGAGAATGTTGCATAATTAACTGCCACACAAAACAAAGCGAACATTTTAAGAGAACGCAAAGACAAGCAGAGAATATAAAATTTAATGAATATAAATACAAATTCAAAATATGCAAACTTTGTACTACAGTTTTCATTTAGAAACCCGTCCTACAAATGGAGAACACACAGAATCAAACTGAGAACAAATTTAAGAAAACAAAAACAACAACAAAGACAAAGACAACGGTACTGATTATTAAGTAAATAAAATATAAATGTTAAAAAGTTATTTACAAACAAAGTTATTAAAAAACAACTACAACAAAAATTAAGCAATAAATGCAAAACTAATGCTCCATTAAAATAACTTTTAAGTAATTATAGTAATAATAAACTAAATTAAGTTCTACACAAGCAGAGAAGCAGAGCAGAAAATACATTTGAAATATTTAACCGTTAAACAAAATGAACAACAACCAAACGACAATCGAATTACAAAAGCAAAATGAAATTATTTTTTCTCAACTTTACTGTAAATACTTAGAGGTGGCAACACGCCCGCTGAGTTTGCGCGCATTTTTGTATATACACATACCCACAAACGAAGTTCGTGCCAAAGGAGGTGACTTTCAAGTGATTGCAATCGAGCTACGGACGGATTAAAAGTAAAATTAAAGTAGTCAAAACAGTCGCGGCAGTTCACCAGCATGATGACTGTGAATCGTCGGAAGATCTAGTAGTTTGACGATATCAATGGAGAAATTAAAAGAAGTTAGGAACAAAGAATATCCATACATATAATGCGGTTATATGCAAAGAAAAATACTGAGCCAGAAGATACAAAAGACCCTTTAAGGAGCTTTAACAATGATACCCATGAAAAATTAGGCGATTTTCGTGATTTTTTTTAAAGTATGTTAATGAATGTTTCTTTGGGCATGTTATGGTATATTTTCCCAACTGCTGACATGACTCCGGCCGAATGAGTTAGTATACCAAAACAGTTCAAAAAGATTATTAAAGCTGAAGCATTTCCTATACAACGACCAACGATTTTTGAAAAAATTAAGAAATTAACAAAATGGTGATATTCAAAAAACAACTTGATAATTCAACCAATCAAAAAGATCGTAGGTCATTGTATAGTAAATATATACAAATATATCTCGTTGAGTTATGATGTCAGCAATTTTGAAAAATGTCGTTTCGAGAAAACGTGTTTGAAGTTTCAACTATCCGAAGTTTAAACTGCGAGCGGTCGCTGACATTCAAAAACTATACAAGATACGATCTTACCGATTTCACCGGACATTTTTGAAAATATAAATTATCGAAAAACCAAAACAAAACTCGATATTATGAAAGTTTCACACTGGTATAGCCACTTAATTTAATTTAACTAAGTTTGAACAAGTGGAACACGAAACTTTGCAAGAAAATTTGAGAGCTTCGCTAATGTAGTCTTAGAGTGGTTTTCTAGTTCGGTGAAAAGCTTGAGCCATGATACTGCTACTTGCTCTTTCCGGTAAGAAAATATAGCATAGAAAAATAACCTATTTTATAAGAGAGTCACCTTTCTTTAGCCACACCGCACACCTACGTATAATTGCCCCCAACAAAAACAAATGCTGCAATAGAAAACGCGCATGCAATGTAAATATAGGAGAGCAAGGGTTTGAAAATTAGTTTTGGTGCCTCGCATAGCATGGCATAGCATAATAAATACCAAATACTTGCATAATTATAAATGTGATATTGTTAAGACGTGACGAAAATTGTGCGCGAGCGTATAGCAAGTAGTTTGAGGCATGTATTTGAGGCTACAAAAAGCTATATACAAAATTTTATTTAATTTATCAAATTAAGTTACCAACTTCACTTGCAACAAATTTGTTAGCTAAATTTGTGCCCTTCTTCACACAGGTATATAAAAGCATCATATTTTGTTTTAGCAAAATTTTTAGCTTAATAAAATATGTGGCATGCAAGCCAGCGCCTTAAATTGTGCTGCACTTGGTTGATTGCCTGAAGCGGTTTCAAAGCAGAAATACAACACTGAGTTCGAATATCTCAAAGTGCTCATAGTTTAAAGATATCTCTTAGGACAACTGCATACAACTACACACTCACATATATACATACATATAGATCGCTTAGGTCTAATAGAGCAATAAGTAATGAAAGTTATGTAAATTATGAAAAAAAAAATGTTATTCGATGGTTGTTTTATATTATTAGAGGTTAAGGCGGCGCGGCATATTTCTTTGAGTACCTTTAATAATAACTAATTAATTGTAAGTTGTTGAAAAAATTCACGTTTAGATATAACTAGACGCTAAATTTGTTAAACGTCTTTGTTACTGTACACAAATTTGTATAAGTTCAAGAAGAAAGTTAGGAAATTTTGACATTCATGTTTGACTTGACACTGACTTAAAAGGTTTTGATTTTTTTAATTGGCTAAAAAATTATATGCGGTTGAGAACGCCTGCTACACTTTCAAATAATGTTTTTATACTCTGAACAGGTCATATTAAGTTTGCCAGGAAGCTTGCAACACACAGGAGGAAATTTGACAGACCCTATAAAGTATAAAAGTAACCAATTTAAGGATACTTTCTCAATGTCTGGTTACCAGCCTTCCTGTCCAGTTATTAGAGTTCTACTTAGCAAACATTAACAAATTGTGTGACCGACCAATGTGCTTGGTTAATGGAGATGTCCGCTTAATATATCGTCTATTTAATAGAGCTTTCACTGTGTTTTTTTAATTTATGAATTGTTTTCACTATCCTATCTTCTAAGTTGGTTCGAACTGGACACAGTATGTTAAATTTTGCTAAAATCAGTTGAGTAGTTTAGGAGTCCATCGCGAACAAACAACGTGACACATAAATTTTAATAAAGATGAATGGTCAATGTGTCAAAACATCCGTTAGTTTTGGAGATAACTATCTGAAAGTTTGCACACGTTCTTTTCTCACTAAGAAGCTGCCCTTTTATTAGAACACCTGATAACGGACCACTATAGCATACAGCTGCCATACAAACGGAACAATCGGAATCTAGTTCTTGACCAACCAAAGTTCTTTTAAGGAAACTTTTACATCTGCGAAGGATATTATTGCTTTCAACATTTTATATTGTTTAACATATCTTCACGTCTATGTTTATATAAAGAGGCATGTTTAAGAATCCAGATGAATAGGATATTCCGCTATGATTTTCTCTATATTTTGGGTCAACGCGAACGCAAAGTCAAAATGGACGTCTGTTAACAGTTTTAATGTGGCTGTTTATTTCTGATCGTATATTTGACGTCTTCGAGCTATATTTGTCTGTGTTTTAAGTCAAGTTTGGTCAAGATTTGTGCAACTAATTTACATTTTGGCAAGATATCTTTATTCGAGCATTACAAATTCATACACATAGTGCAAAATATGTACCAAAATACTAACTAACATACCAACTAACAACAATTTATGTGATTTTCGAATAAACTTCGAGAATTTCGTTACCTGAGTATAGTCAACACTGTGCTAATTTGTTATTAATTTTTTAATGAAAGAATATATCTATGTATAAATTGTTACAGATGTGTTTACCCCCTACTAGCTTAAACTAGATGGCTGCTCCACCAAGATGGCGTGATAACACACTTAGACTGTTATGTACAATCTTTTGTGCATCCAGTTAGACTTACTACTCTACTTGGATATCAGCTATCGACTAAGCGTATTGAGCCTACCACAAAACTGTTTAGGTGCTTTCTTTCGAAACCTTACCAATTCCAAATAGGTTCTTGGAAAGTGTATATTTACTCACACCACATAAATATATTTGTACAAAGGACAAGCAATTCCAATATGGTATTAAATACATACATACACACATCTAATTTAAAATATTTAGCCTAAATTATTTGTAGTTGTAAATTGAAAGTTAAACTGAAAAGAATATAAAATAGCAAATAATGCAAAACCGAATTAAATGTTAATTAAAATATCGTCAACTTTTTGTTAATTAAAAAAGAAAATTGTAAATAAAACCGCTGTAAATAACTGTAAAATACCGAGAAGGAAGTCAGGCAGCAAGCAAGATGCTTGCTAAAACCGTTAGTTGCTTGAAACCATGTATAAACAATTCAAAGTAAATTATAGATTACATACATATAAGTATATAAGCTAAAATATTTATAAATACTAAAAACGCTTAACAAATTCGTCAACTACGCGCGCATACGAAACTAGAAAAATGCTAGAAGTGTAAAGAGGCAAAAGCTAAACTAAAACTAAAGCTAAACTAAAACTAAAGCTAAAACTAAAATTACGAGCTGACTAAGTGAAGCTTACAGCAGCAACTAGTAAAAGAAATATTCGAATATTTAGACATAAGCGAATTGGCGTTGCATACACATACACACATATGTATGTATGTATGTTTTTCTTTTCGAAAGTTTTCCTTGCAAAGCCTTAAATTTGAAAAATATGCAAAAATTGTGCAATTAATTAAATTTATTTATTTGTAAAGACATGTATTTAGGATTGGCTTCCGCGCGAAATGAAAAACAAAACCAAATTGTAAATAAATAAATAACGGTAAATTAGAAGCCATCACGTGACGTAAGCAAACGAAATTTTCAAGCAAATGCTGCGTGTAATTGCAAAGCTGAAGGGCAAAACGCATGGTAACGTCTCGAAAATGCTTTGCAACATCATTAACTAAAACGTAAAAAATAAGAAAATATAAGAATTCTTAGAAGAATAAAAAGAAAAATTTAGAAAAAATACCAAAAAATACGCTTTTATACGCCATTGACACTATACAAATATCAATTATTTTTTAATAAAACAAAATCTCACACGCATTCAATGCCGAACTTCACCGCGCATTAACGGTAACGCACTGCAAACCGTTAGTTTGCGTATATGTATAGCATACGAATGAGAAGCGAACGAGTTGAAGAGTTTCTTTGAAATATTTGCAAACAAAAAGTAGTAGAAAATTCCTAAACACACCAGAAATGCATTGAAGAACTAGACAATTTTTACTAAACACACCGCAAAAGCTCGCTACACACTCACCACTAATTAAAGGATTAAGTCAGAAGAA